ACACACACACACACACACACACTCTCTCTCTCTCTTTTTCTTTCATTCTCTCTTTCTCTCTCTCTCTCTTTCTCTCTCTCTCTCTCTCTCTCTCTCTCTCTCTCTCTCTCTTCTATCTCTTCTATCTTTCTATCTTACATTCCCTCTCACTTCCGTGGTTTCCCTCTCCTTTATAATAACTAGATTCTAGATCTAGATCTAATCAATTTTTATAAAATATAATTTTCACTTTTGAATCGAGACAACATATATATATAATATGTACATATCTCCATGTCATGTGCATAATGATCTCTGGGAATAGCCTGAAGGAATCTAAATACGCACACATGAGCCTTGAGCGAGTGAATGAAAGAATAAAAACCTAACCAATTGTGTTGCATTAAACATAAAGACGAAGGGATATAGATCTATATACAATTTTATTGTTTTTTCCATAAGTTGTGTCCTTTCGAGAATCCAGTATTGCTACTTTGCGGGACCAACGTAGTGGAACCAGAATTCTTTTTTTTTTTTATATGAAAGTGATGCCTGGACTCCAGAGAGAGAGCCGTGACAGAAGAATGTGTACTTCCAACCAACTGCCCGCGTGCCTTTTGCATGGTTACCCTGAGCTCAGGGTTTTATACCTAGTAAGATGGCCTAGCTTTAGACCATCGTTTGGTGCTTTCGACCACAAGCACAGTCGTTACTCTTAATTGATGATAGTCTGGCTGTCTCTGCATCTTTGGAGAACACATTACTTACTAAATAAAAAATAGAAATATAATGATATAAATTGCATGCACCATATAGACACCCCAAGAAAATGAGCTTTACAACAGTGTAATGAATACACACATTAAATCTTATGCATACACGCATGAATGATGGTCAGTATCATATTAGCACTTACGCAATCCACACACCACTGAAGGCTGGTCGACATTGTGCAGCGCTCTGTTTTCGAGCTTCGGTCATCGTGCATTTCTCAAGGACACACCCAAAAATATATTTGCATGTAGATAATGATTAGATATTCGTAAAATAATGTGGGATTTGTAACGTAAGGCCAATGACATATTATTATAATATTATTATCATGTATGAACATATGTATGGCGAAGATCCATAAAGTCGAGTGTAGGTAGGGTCGGAATGGATAACAATTTATATAACAGCATTATTAAATCTAGATCTAAGTTACATAAAAAAAACCCAAATCTGTAGCCTATGTGTTAACAAAATTTATGATGTACGGTACAGGTAGATTTTCAAAGGAAAATACTCCCCCCCCCC